TTGGTGGTTTTTACCCTAGGCTTCAGTGGTTGATATTTTCTTGACCGGGGTACCTAGCCTGTCGTATGCCCTGATGGTGTTCTCGTAACTTTCGGGTTGCCTGATCTGCCAAGGGCGATGGGACAGTGCATGACGCTATTGTTGTGTGCTAGGTTCAAAGAGAATTGTATGCTATATGCATGCGAATCCGCCCCGTTATTGTTCCTATTTCAAACTTTTACACTGTTGAAGCTGCCACGACTCGAGCACAACCCACCGCAGCATCTCAATCAAGTCATCTAGACCGGACTAGGCTGTGGCCGGACTATTAGGACGGAGCCTTTGACCAGCAACCCGCGTTGATATGCGGGTATACACGCCGGCAGGCACTCGCCCAATCCACGACTCAATGTGCGCCGTGATAGATGAAAAGCCGACCCTCGGACAGGCGTGGCCACAGGATATCCCGTAGCCGCAATATGCGTTCAAGATGTCGATGTTCAAAGCAGTATGCAGTTCACATTAATTCACACAGTTGGCTGCACTCTTCATCGACACACGAGCCGAGTGATCCACCGCTCAAAGTTGTACGCCAATAATCCCATACATTGGTTTCCCAAATGCATAGAACTAATGGTTAACGCTGCAGCCTAGGATATTTACCGCTAAGCCAGCGTACATGCAGTCCAGCACGAAGCCAGGTGCATGCCAGGCAGCAAACCCGTGAATGGCAAGCCAAACCGGATCGCTTCAACAGTGTAAAAGTTTGAAATAGGAACAATAACGGGGCGGATTTGCATGCATATAGCATACAATTCTCTTTGAACCTAGCACACAACAATAGCGTCATGCACTGTCCCATCGCCCTTGGCAGATCAGGCAACCCGAAAGTTACGAGAACACCATCAGGGCATACGACAGGCTAGGTACCCCGGTCAAGAAAATATCAACCACTGAAGCCTAGGGTAAAAACCACCAAGCCAGGGTACATACAGCCCAGCAAGAAGCCAGGTGCATGCATCATTATATATTTTTGGGTTATGATAATGATCCTTCCGCAGGTTCACCTACGGAAACCTTGTTACGACTTTTACTTCCTCTAAATAGTCAAATTAGGTCATCTTCTCAGCATCAGTCGAGCGGCAACGCCACTACAACGACACCAATCCAACGACCTCACTAAACCATTCAATCGGTAGTAGCGACGGGCGGTGTGTACAAAGGGCAGGGACGTAATCAGCGCAAGCTTATGACTTGCACTTACCAGGAATTCCTCGTTCACGGGGAATAATTGCAAGCCCCGATCCCAGTCACGACGGTGATGAAACAGTTTGCCCAACCCTTTCGGGCCAGGTTCCCAGACTCGCTGGCACCGTCATTGTAGCGCACGTGTGGCCCCGGACATCTAAGGGCATCACAGACCTGTTATTGCTCAATTTCGTGCGACTTAAGTGTGCCGCTTGTCCCTCTAAGAAGTAAAAACTGGCACCGCACCCGCCGGATCACGACCACACTACTCCATAAAGAAGCAATAGAAGCCGCGCCCTAAACGAGCACAGAGGACCAGTCTACTATTTAGCAGGTTAAAGTCTCGTTCGTTATCGGAATTAACCAGACAAATCGCTCCACCAACTAAGAACGGCCATGCACCACCACCCACCGAATCAAGAAAGAGCTATCAATCTGTCAATCCTCACAGTGTCCGGGCCGGGTGAGTTTTCCCGTGTTGAGTCGAATTAAACCGCAGGCTCCACTCCTGGTGGTGCCCTTCCGTCAATTCCTTTAAGTTTCAGCTTTGCAACCATACTCCCCCCGGAGCCCAAAGACTTAAAGGTTTCCCGGGGACTGCCCGCGATGTCAATTATAGAACCAACGCGGATCATCAGTCGGCATTGTTTATGGTCAGAACTACGACGGTATCTGATCGTCTTCGAAACTCTGACTTTCGCTCCTGATCAATGAAAACATTCTTGGCAAATGCTTTCGCTGTAGTTTGTCTGGCGGCGATCCCAGAATTTCACCTCTAACACCGCCATACAAATGCCCCCGTCTGTCCCTCTTAACCATTACTTCGGATCCGAAAACCAACAAAATAGAACCGAAGTCCTATTTCATTATTCCATGCAAGAATTTTCAGGCGCACAGGCCTGCTTTGAGCACTCAAATTTGTTCAAAGTAAAGATGCCGTCCGCTCCCGACACCCGTTTAAAGGCATCCGGAAGCATGCCGACAGGTCAACAAGACGAACTCGTCAACCCACCAGCACCCGTTTAACACAGACACGGCTGAAAGGCTGCACAGCCACTACACCGAGCTGAACACGTCCTGATCGTAACCAAAACCGTGAACAAGCAGCGGCATGCGACCGCACGACCCAGATCCAACTACGAGCTTTTTAACTGCAGCAACTTTAATATACGCTTTTGGAGCTGGAATTACCGCGGCTGCTGGCACCAGACTTGCCCTCCAATTGGTCCTCGTTAAAGGATTTAAATTGTACTCATTCGAATTACGGAGCCTCAATTGAGTCCCGTATCCGTATTTTTCGTCACTACCTCCCCGTGCCGGGAGTGGGTAATTTTCGCGCCTGCTGCCGTCCTTGGATGTGGTAGCCATTTCTCAGGCTCCCTCTCCGGAATCGAACCCTGATTCCCCGTTACCCGTTATCATCATGGTAGGCAAATCACCTACCAACAAATTGATAGGGCAGACATTTGAAAGATCCGTCGCCGACACAAGGCCGACTGCGATCAGTAAAGTTATCCAGAGTCATCACAGAATGTAACAGGCACAGCCGAAGCCGCGCCCGATTGGTTCTGTTCTAATAAATGCACCCGTTCCCTTGCGGGTCAGGGATTCAAGGCATGTATTAGCTCTAGAATTACTACAGTTATCCATGTAGCATTTACGATCTAAGGAACCATAGCTGATTTAATGAGCCATTCGCGGTTTCACCGTTTTAAGGTATGTACTTAGACATGCATGGCTTAATCTCTGAGACAAGCATATGACTACTGGCAGGATCAACCAGTTTGTTCACAGTTATATAATATACCCTCGTGGGCCAGGGTAATTTTACATTGGTTTTCAGGAGAACCAGACACCATCCGGACTTTCACGTAAAAACCCAAACAGTGCAGCTCAACCCCGTTTAGCAGAGGAACCAGACACCGTACAGGCCTTAACGCTACAATCTGAATGGTACAGCTCAATCCTGTGGCGCAACCACACAGGTACCAAGAACCCTGGTGGACCATTCGCACCATTCATATACACACTCACATCACATGTATAGTTATTCCGATCAATGATCGCGTGAATCAATTATGCACAGCACGAACAGGCCAAAGTTGACCCATTCCGCTTACACGACAGTCAAACTCGTTAATATTAGCAATGGCGGCATGCCTTACAATGTCCCAATGACAATGGCCCTCGGGAACACTGAAAAGCAACCACCAGTATGAATGAAATCGGTTAACCAGCAAACCAATTTTTGCATGAACAGTCAGCAAAACTTGCCAAAGCAATGCCGAACCGTCCACAATAACAATGGCGAACCTCCAGCCTCATATGAGACCTTCAGCTCTATATAACCATATAGCTAATAGTGCATACAACACATGTATAGGGTAGTAAGCGAAATGGCCCAGCCTGAAGCGTTAGGGCCTAAATAACGCCTAAAACCCATTGTCTGATGCCGGAATACTATAATTAGACCACCAAGATCGTTTTTATCGCATTTGCGAAAATTTCATTTTTCCGACTTTTCAGACCCTGAGTTAGGGGTAGTATCCCTATATAACATGGCGAGTAAGAGCATGTGTAAATCGTCAAACACAAATCTCAATGTATGTGTACATATTATACATCATTGAATAGAACTCAATGAGATAAGAAAAATAAAAAAAACCCCATTGAAAAATAATAATTCGTTCAAAAGTTATGAAGGAAAATGTGACCCAAAAATTCCTATAGAAAGTCCGAGCGGCAAAATCCTATAGAAATGCCCGAGACGGCAAATTTCTTGAACACACTTTTGACCATAACTTTTGAACGGCTACACCGATTTCGTTCATTCTTTTTTTATTCGATTTCTCTTGCAAATATCTATCTGAATTAGTATAACATATTGCTATATATTTACTGGAAAAATTATTTTGATAAAAAAACTGAAATTCTCTCGGACTTTCTATTGAAAAATTAAAAATTTAATTATTTTTTTTTCTGATGGATAAAATCCCTTGATTATTTTTTTATTCAATAGATCGTGCAATTTTACATAAAATAAATTAAACCTCTTCGAAATCCATGCAGCCATTCAAAAGTTATGATGGAAAATGTGACCCAAAAATTCCTATAGAAAGTCCGAGCGGCAAAATCCTATAGAAATGCCCGAGACGGCAAATTTCTTGAACACACTTTTGACCATAACTTTTGAACGGCTACACCGATTTCGTTCATTCTTTTTTTATTCGATTTCTCTTGCAAATATCTATCTGAATTAGTATAACATATTGCTATATATTTACTGGAAAAATTATTTTGATAAAAAAACTGAAATTCTCTCGGACTTTCTATTGAAAAATTAAAAATTTAATTATTTTTTTTTCTGATGGATAAAATCCCTTGATTATTTTTTTATTCAACAGATCGTGCAATTTTACATAAAATAAATTAAAACTCTTTGAAATCCATTCAACTTTTCAATTGCGCATTACAATTGGTCTTACTATGAAATCAGTGTTTTTCGGCTAAGTCAAATTTTTGACGCGCTTTACACATGGTCTTACTCGCCATGTTATATAGGGAGACTACCCCTAACTTTGTGGTCTCCCAATGGTGCGCTTTTATTTCCGTGCACCCTAAAATAAGGGGGATATATATATATATATATCGCGGGCTTAGAAAGTTTTTAGCGACCAGCCGCGCCGCGGGCCGGCCGATTTTTGCGCGAAAATCGCGCGGACTACACCTGGACTTGCCGCGGACTACACCTGGATTTGCCGCGGACTACACCT